AAAATGTGAGCGCTCTTGGTAAAATCAAAGAATGAACAGCTTCCATTGCCTCAATATTAAGACCGTAGATTCAACAGTGATCCAACGTTTCTTAACCGACTCACTTTGACTCATTCTCTACTTGACTCTAGCATGTTTTCTCGGTGAGCATTTAAAATCACACCAAGAAATTCGCTGCAAATACTTGCGGTATATGTTACAACAGGCCTCACTTAGGATAGACATCGTGTCCTTTAACGTTTGCTCCCTAATAGAGCATGTACGCGACAGGAGCCGAGAAGCCTATAAATTCGCTCTCTCCCCCAGCAATTTGTTCCACAACACATGTCACTTGCTCCGCAAAGTCGAGCAGGCCTTCGGTTCGAGGCACCTGATAAGTTCTTCCCTTTGACCTACTGGATTTCCACTGTACTGACATCTATACTGCAATTACGTTGTGGACTGACAAGCTAGAAAGTGCATGTGAGAATGAGATTCCCACCAGGACCACTATGCCACCCATGCCAGCCGATCAAAGAAGCAGTTTTGTGTTAGATGGTCGATGTATCTATGCGAACATCTATCCACCAAAGCAGCCGACCACTGTCCCGCCCCTGAATATCGATGCAAAAGAGCGATCTCCATACAGGTATGTAGATTCCAGCGCGACCCTTTCCGAAAGTTGGACTGACTTCAAAGACGACGCGAAAGAAAGATCCTTGCGTTCCGTCCAATATACTCCAGCCACGGAGCCCTTTCCTGTGTCTTTTTTTAAAACATGTAAGTCATGCTTTGTCCCGCCGACCAACAAGCTAATGATGGACAGGAAACCGTTGACAGCGCGCCAAAGTGAGCCCGAACCAGCACTCCGTCAGTGCTCCACGCAGTCATGGCTTACACACCATTTCTGGCCCGGTCACTTCAAATCATGCAGCATGTCCTGAAATTCCGCAAACCAGGGCTGTGGGTCAACAACAGGACGCATAAGCCCCAGACGTTCGTTGTGCACGATGAGGTGAGTGGAATATCGCGCATCCTGCTGCGCCGGTTTTGATTTTGCGCCAAGTCTGTGCCCCAGACACGAACCCCACTGACATCTTCATGCTGTTGTAGGAGCAGCCCATCATCAACCTCGAAAACTGCTGTGGCGAGTAACCTATTCCCGCCGAGTCAGATAAGACCAAGGGGCCGACGCGCTCCATCGCGTCTTACGTCCTCTACCTCACCGCCTTCACATCCTCAACAACAGAGTGCCTCTACACGGAGCAGTCTCCCAATACTGTACAATTTCTTGTCACAAGTGGGCTCGTCACGCGCCTTTGCCGTCCTGTAAACTTGCCCGGTGCATCCAGCGCAACTTCTCGAAGCGACAGCCGGAGAGTGCGACGAACCTGGATAGAACATGGCATGATTGGTGACTGCATTGCAAGAGAAAATTGGCCGTGATCTAGTTGGTAAGCTGGTATGATCATGATTCTTGTTTATCATCTACTTCAAGCGTACACTCGGGGATTCTTCATGAACAACGTAAAGCACAACACCTCGTCCAACTGGATCAACACTTGCTGACTCGGGTCTCACCACAGGAAGACACCCTCATATTCTCACACTCGAATGCGAAGCGAGCAAATGTCTTGTCTGCTCAAACTCCCCTGCACCAACACCATCGCATGCTCTGTTTCTTCCACATGACTACCGGTGGTATCGACGCGTCGCTACCTCGAACTTGGCCCAGTCGATTTGGTTCATCAGATCATGTGTTGGTATGTCTACCTAATGCAAGACCCAATGGAGCGCATAGTAGTGTCTGTTTCTCGGCTTTTGAACACCCTCATAGGATAGCCTACTTGCCGGCTTGGATCCCCGGCGTCCAGTGGGTGACCATGGTTGTCCTTAGATGGCGTCTAGCGTCTTTCAAGCCTGAAAATGAAGACAATAGGAGGAGCTGAAGTTTCGTCTTGCTAGAGTCGTATTTTCGTACACGGCGAGGTTGTTCGTCGAGTTTGCTTGCAAGGAGAATGTGAGGCGAAGTCCCGTCATCTCTAGCCGAGGGGACTAACAATAGCCATGTCGGCTTCGAATCGATGGACAAGACCGAGGACGGCCAAACGAAAGAGAGAACTCATGACCCAAGAACCACGTCTGTTAGAATCCCCCTGATTCTTCTTCCTCTCTGCGTTGCTCAGCTTATCGATATATTCGAGCGAGCGGGAACCACTCGGACATACACGGAGCTGCATGCTATCAGGATTGTTTGTCTTTTCCCTGTTAGACAGAAGCTTGGTGATTTGATTCCTAAGCCTGTGTTTTTCTATCCAAGCCCGAGCACTACGTGCAAAGCCCATACATTTTGAATGTCACAGCAGCTGGAGGTCAGTCAAGCTATCCAGTATCCTTCGTCCATTGAGACTGTCGTCTAACATATCGCAACTGGCGGCGCAAGCAGGTCTTGCCAGCAAATCACCGATTTCTCTACGTCTCTGAGCTCACTGTGCTTTGGTCATCTATGATGTATTTATCATCGCGCCCAAGACGATATCTGGCATATCACTGTTGAGCAATTCACCGTGAAGGTGGGTTTGATGTCTGTAACAGCACTACAAGAGCCTTCGGGTTGTAGGACCTCTGAATGTCCCGTACAGCCTATACGAATTATCTACCCCAATAAGCGCTCATGTTACATTTGCTTGGGGAGGATTTGAGCGGATGCCTGCTAGGGTCACACGCGGATAAGAACACCCCTGTACAAATATCACCAGGTCCCGAGCGGCGATCGTGGAGAGTTTTTTTACTAGTTCTGGTTCCAGAGGGCTAGTTGGAAATCGATCGGACTTCAATCATGCTATATCAGCAGCGGAGCATGCTGTATTGCATGACTCGGGAATAGGCACCACAGAAAGAAACGACTGTTTCTTAATCGCTGTAGTGGACTTTTACGAGAGATTGGGTGAACTATGAATCGGAAGTACTGACGGGGAATTATTCACAAATT